AGAGAGAGAGAGAGAGGAGAGGAGAGGAAGAGGAAGAGGAAGAGGGAGAGGGAGAGGGAGAGGGAGAGGGAGAGGGGAGGGGAGGGGAGGGGGGGGGGGGGGGGGGGAGAGGGAGGGGGAGAGGGAGAGGGAGAGGGAGAGGGAGAGGGAGAAGGAGAAGAAGGAGAAAGAGGAGAAAGAGGAGAAGGAGGAGAAGGAGGAGAAAGAGGAGAAAGAGGAGAAGGAGGAGAAGGAGGAGAAGGAGGAGAAGGAGGAGAAGGAGAGGGAGAAGGAGAGGGAGAAGGAGAGGGAGAAGAAGGAGAAGAAGGAGAAGGAGGAGAGGGAGACGGAGGGGCAAACGGTCAGGAAGAAGGTAGGAGGGAGGGAGTTAGGGAAGGAGGGAGAGGGAGGGAGGGAAAGAGAGGGAGGGAGAAGGATGGAGAAGGAGGGAGAGGGAGGGAGGGAGGGAGGGAAGGAGAGGGAGGGAGGGAGGGAGGGAGGGAGGGAGGGAGGGAGGGAGGGAGGGAGGGAGGGAGGGAGGGAGGGAGGGAGGGGGAGGGAGGGGGAGGGAGGGGGGGAGAGAGAGAGAGAGAGAGAGAGAGAGAGAGAGAGAGAGAGAGAGAGAGAGAGAGAGAGAGAGAGAGAGAGAGAGAGAGAAAGAGAGAGAGAGATATTCATATACTGATAGATAGGCAGAAAGATATATATAAATTTAGATACTTAAAGATAGATGGATGGATGGATGGATGGATGGATACATATATGTATAAGTATATTACTTGTGTGTGTGTGTGTGTGTGTGTGTGTGTGTGTGTGTGTGTGTGTGTGTGTGTGTGTGTGTATGTGTGTGTGTGTGTGTGTGTGTGTGTGTGTGTGTGTGTGTGTGTGTGTGTGTGTGTGTGTGTGTGTGTGTGTGTGTGTGTGTGTGTTTGTGTGTGTGTTTGTGTGTGTGTTTGTGTGTGTGTGTGTGTGTGTGTGTGTGTGTGTGTGTGTGTGTGTGTGTGTGTGTGTGTGTGTGTGTGTGTGTGTGTGTGTGTGTGTGTGTGTGTGTGTGTGTGTGTGTGTGTGTGTAAGTGTGTGTGTGTGTGTGTGCTATCATTAAAATATTCATCAATTACCTGGCTTCAAGAATGAAAAATTTAACCCATTAACTCTTCTTTCAAGCAACACCTTTAGAAATATATAGAACCCTTTGAAATATATAGAATGAAAACCTAAACACCTACTCAAAATCTGTTGGGTCTACATACCAACCAATCTGGTTAAGAGAACCACCGAAGAAGCTTTGGAAAATAAGATATAGTTTCCGGCTATGAAATGGACCTCTCTGATCACTATAACAGCAAACAACTCCAATAAATACAAAGACAAAACAAGACAAAAAAATGGTAATGCATGTGTTTCTATTTTAACCTATCAAAACAACTATCAAAATATCAACCAACCGTAATTTATTAAGGGAATGGAGGGGCTTACAGTCGCCATGAGGGTCCCACCACGAGCTTGCCATCAACCTAAACTTTGCCACCTCCTCTTCAACATATGTAGTTTCTTTGCCATTTCTGGAGGTGAAGTCTGTGTTCTCATCTTGAATACTCTGTTCATGTTGATGGAAACTTGACGATGATGTAGACACTTCTCTGGGTATACTGCTCCTGTAAAACATATTTTTCTGTTAAACCCATGTCACCAGGAAACCATAGTGTTCGCAATAGTTAAGTTTTGTGAAGGGTGTCTGGACATAGATGGCTCCACACGTGCTTAGCCACAGAGGAGTCAATTAGTAAGCATTGGGATCTCACCTGATTTTACTGTTCCTTTATATAATGGGAAAAATGTTTTTTTTTACTAATGCTATTGATGCTGTAATTATTATTGTTGGCATTATATATTATATAATACTAACAGCATTATATGATAGCAGAAAACATTTCAGAAAATCAAGGCAAAAGGTAAACAGGTGAGATAGAGAGTACTCATAACTAACTCATTGGTGACTTAGTACTTGTGGGGCCATCTATGTGTAAAGACAATTAATCATCTAAACTCACAGTGGGCATGGCATGTGGCATTGGGTTAAATACATTTTGACAGAATGCTACAAAGACTGAATACTGACTGAACTTTTAAAATCAACTTTGCCAATTATATATGATGTAAGGCTCTTCATTCTACATAGCCTACTTAACCAGTCTATGCTTTCAAGACAAAAAAAATTGACTCACTTTATGGCACAGCAGCAGTAACACACATGAAGTATAAATAAAGTATGTGCAATGAATCCCCTTCATATGTATACAAATATATCGTTTTTCTTTACTGCTTTCTTTTCTATTGAATAAATACCCAAATCACTACTACATAAGTACTATTCAAATTCTCCTATAATTACTCTCTTCAGCAGAGTAAAGATTAACAAACAGTTATCTTTCAAGGCAATATCAAATATTAACTATACTGATTCCTTATGACTGCTTAGAAATCATCTGAGATTTCCTTACCATTGCAATCTTTCTGCACATGCTGGAGTTCTGGAGATTAGTATCCTCTGCAGGCTTCTTGTGGCTAGGCATGATGTGATTCTACCGAGCATCGTAAATTCTTAAATGTGTAGCCGATGTTATGTTGACACTGGAAGAGCAACAATAGCCATTAACATGATCCATTTTTTTTCAATTTTAAATCCATACCCATAAAGATGTCATCATAAGGTTCTTGAAACAATAGCATAGAAAGCTTTACTCTTTACTCTTAGATTTATTAATTAATTTGGAATATCTGAGGATACAAATGCCTCTCAAATTAGGCACAAACCTACTGACACCCTAGCAAAGGCTTACTGGCACTAACAAATCTCAAAAAAAATTCCACAACTGTCACTTGTTACATTCCTGGACAATTTATGATACATAATTGTTATAACAAAACTTATCATAACATTCTATCACACAATAATTAATAAAATACTAACAGAAGTAGGAATTGTTAAACCAATCAAAAAGTTAGCTGACACATGAAGCTGTTCAGGATGCTGAAATCTTATTAGATTATATTGCAATAAAAGAGCACAGTTATGTAAAATCAGCAGCTGGTATAAAGAAGATGTTTCCAAAGATACAGCAGAAACATAAGAAAAAAAATCAGTAACTTACTCCCGGAAAATAAAAAAAGATGACCCTGTTCATTTCTATTCCTAATAGCTTTTTCTGAAAGGCAATACCCTTAATAAACTCAAAGTAGGCCTACATAACTCACACTTACAAAATAAATTCTGAAAAGACCTACAGTAATCAAGAGTACATATTAATGTGCTCATCAATGAAACAAAAACTCAACAACACTCATTTTAATAAAGAAAAAAAGAATCACCCCTGAGAGCAAACATTGGACAATATCTAGTATAAGGTAATGGCAGAGTTGGGTAATAAAACCTACATGAAATGATAGAACAATGCAAACCAAGACAATATGGCAATATGTCCCAAGGATGCTATACGTAAAAGAAAAGAGAA